ATCTACCTTTTCTTATTTTCATCCCAATCTCCTTCTTATTTATCCTCCATGTTTGTTCTCTCACTTCTCATCCTTCCCTCCGCAATCTCCTCCTTCTTCTTCTTCTTCTTCTTCTTCTTCTTCTTCTTCTTCTTCTTCTTCTATGTTTGTTCACTCTTCTTCTCATCCTTTCACAGCCTTCTTTCCCTTTGTTCTCCTCCTCCTCCTCCTACTCCTTCTTCTTCTATGTTTGTTCACTCACTTCTCATCCTTTCCAGCCTTCTTTCCCTCCAAAATCTCCTCCTCCTCCTCCTTCTTCTTCTTCTTCTTCTTCTTCTTCTTCTTCTTCTTCTTCTATGTTTGTTCACTCACTTCTCATCCTTTCACAGCCTTCTTTCCCTCCAAAATCTCCTCCTCCTCCTTCTTCTTCTTCTATGTTTGTTCACTCACTTCTCATCCTTTCACAGCCTTCTTTCCCTCCAAAATCTCCTCCTACTCCTCCTCCTTCTTCTTCTACTTCTTCTTCTTCTTCTTCTTCTTCTTCTTCTTCTTCTTTTTCTTCTTCTTCTTCCAGCTTCTTTCTTTTTCTTTTTTTTCGCTTTGAAGTATCCTTTTTTTTCACCCCAAGCAAGGCGCTAAGACCACTAACACAAAACTCGCTGCTGGGAGTGAAATAGAATGAAAAAAACTTTAGGAGGAACAGAAAACCCAATCCTAAACAGGAAACAAGAGATAAACCTCTACTCCTGTTCAAAAGACCGGAGAGGAGTGTGAACTGGGCGATAGGCGAACCTGCCATTAAATAATAATTTCTTCCCTATCAGTATTTCTTTTTCCTTAAATATCACATTTTTTCTTTCTAATTTTAATCAATTTTTCGCTTTCTTAACAGTTTTTTCTATCCTCCCCTCAATCTCCCAATGCTTCTTTTCTTTGTGCTTACAAAATAAACAAAAACAAAAAACAAAAAAACAAAACGCGCTCGCCATTTTCTACGATGCATTCTTCTTCTTCTTCTTCTTCTTCTTCTTCTTCTTCTTCGTATTGTATCCCTTCATGGTGATCATGGCTCTACACAATTTCTTGTCCTTTATAGCTCTTAAATTTTGTTTTTGTTATGTCTCATAGACTTTCTTCCACCATCCATTTACTGAAGCTCGCTAGGTAGGTTACGCACTGTTTTCCTCTCTCCCTCTTGCCTTCAATCTATCATGTGAGTATCAAATTTTCCAAGCCCTCTTTCCTCATTATGTACCCTAGAAATTTCAGCTGTCTCTGATGTTAAGTACCAGTGTCATTTTTGTTTCCATTTTCTCTAAAACTTTGTCGATTCTCGCATGTTTGGTCTATGGTATTCTCAGCATCCTTCTGTAGAACCACATTTTTGTTGCTTCAAGTCTTTTCTTCCTCTGTGAGGAGATTGTCCATCATACACTGTCATATAGAAGGACCAATATTGCATAACAGTTCACTTCTCTTGTCTTTGTTTCGAACGAAATTTTCCTATTTCATTTTTGATTATTTCCCTCTGACTAACTACCAACCTCTTGTAGCCATTTTACCTTTCTATTTTAACCTCCCCTTTAATCAATTTTACTCTCTCAGCAATTCCTCCCTTAAACCATACTCCCCAGTTGTGCATTTGCATTTTCCAAATCTGATTATTATATTCTTGCCTCGTTTCCCTTTTTACTTTTCTTTATTCTCGTTTTTCATTTCTTTCTTTCTTTTTTGTTTCTTCATTTTCTTTTCATTGTCGCTTTGCTGTTTTCCCTTTGCTTTCTCCTTTTCTCTTTTTCCTTTATAACTCTTTCCTTTAGTCTCTTTCTTTCGCTTTTCTCTCTCTGCTTTTCTCTCTTTCTCTTTTCTTTTTTCTTTCACTTTTATCTCTCTCCTTTTCTCTCATCTTTTCTTTCTCTCCTCTCACGTCTTTTCTTTGTTTTTTCTCCTTTTGCTTTTGTCTGTTTTTCTCGCAATTTGTTTTTTAACCTGATTTGCTTTCCTTCTTTTTCCTTTTGTTTATTTTCTTTCTCTCTCCTTCTTATGCGTTCTCTTGCTCTTCTTCTTCTTCTTCTTCTTCTTCTTATTATTATTATTATTATCCTTTTTTTACTAAATATTCACAACCTTTCTGTTCGTCCATTTTCTTTGCCTTCTTCGCAACCCCCATCACCTATGCACTACTCACTATTTCTTTTCTTTTCTCCCATGGGCTGGGGTTGTTATTGTCGTGCAAACGCGAAGCAGAGAAAACCACCTGATTATCCATCTTAAAAGCGGTTCGACTTATACATGCTTAACGCCCGACTGCTTCGTTTGAGTCCCATTGTGAGACCACCATAGCACAATGGCGTGATTGTGGCCTATTACAAGAGAAATTATTTTCTGCGGATTCGTCTTGTGTCTGATATTCTCATCTTCTCTTTATACAATTTTATCCTTTTCATTCGTTCTTCTTTCATTTAAATATCCTTTCCCCATTCTTTTTCATATATAACATCTTTCTTATTTTTTTTGCGTGAGTGTGCCTCGTTTTCGTCTGTTTCGTGTTAACCAGCCTCTCTTTCATTTCTTTTATTCTTTTTCTCTGTTTCCTTTCCGCCATCTTGAATCTTGCAATTTCGACAGTTCCTTTTTTAATTTTTTTTTTTCGCTATTCATTTAAAAATCTTTTAGTTTTGTACCTTTTTATTCATTCATTCAATCTTTTTCAACCAAAAAATTCTTTCATCTAGCCTTCTCCAAACTTGCATTTTCCTGCCAGTAATTTTTTTGTAATCTTTTCCAATTCCAAACTTATTTTATTTTTGCTCGACCTTCGCATTAGTAATTTTCCTTGCTATCTCGCGTTCCCTTACATCTATTCAGTTACCGATTTTTTTTATTTTTTATTTTTCCGCTTTTTCTTCAATCACACTTTTCCCATGAAGGCTTGAATTCGTTTTCAAATCCTTTTCTTTTTCAACATTTATCGTCTATTTAGCGTTTTATTCTGTTCTAACTAACACTTGCAGGTACATCTTAGTGGCACAACAATGCATTTTGATGACTTTTTATCTTCACAGAGGCCGGAAACTATTTAATGCTATACATTTAACCCTTGGCTGCATATAATGTAAATACACGATTTTACAATAAGGAACACGTTTATAAAAAAAATGTTCTCAGATTTGACTGTAGATTCTGACATCAATGTGGCTTAAGCAACTAAAAATCAGAAAAGGAAACGTAAAATTAAACAGAACAAAAGAAATTAGTAAATACGTTATTTTACACTATGTTCAATAATTCTATCAATTCTGCTTCTTCCTCTTTATGTGCCGTGTCCCTTCAGGACGTAGGCGATCATGGCTCTCCACTTCTCCCCTATCCTTTGTAGCGCTCAATAAGTTTCATCCCTCTGCCACCTCCCTCAGACCACGTTCTGTTATTCACTTGCTTAAGCTCGCCAGGTATGTCATGGGTTGCTTTCCCTTGTCTCTTTTCCCCTCTACTCGACCTGTGAGTATCAGATTCTCCAGGCCCTCCTTTCTCATTACGTGTCCCAGAAATTTCATCTGTCTCTTCCTGATGTTAAGTATAAGTTTCCTCTTTGTTTTCACCCTCTCCAAAACCTCATCGTTGGTCACACGCTCGGTCTATGATATCCTTAGCATCCTTCTGTAGAACCATACCGCCTCTAGTCTCGTCTTCGTCTTTAAGGAGACCGTTCAACATTCGCTGCCGTAAAGGAGGACAGATATCACGTAGTAGTTCAGTACTCTTTTCTTTGTTTCCAAAGAAATCCTCCTGTTCGCAATACTCTGCCCAGCTTTTCGAATGCGTCCTTGGCCATCCCAATACGTCTTCGGATCTCAGTGTCGCACTTACCGTCCTCTGTCAAAACACTTCCCAGATATTTAAACTTCCGCACCTGCTTGATTTTAATGTCCTTGACCTTCAAATCGCATTTCGAGTTAATCTTTTTATTGATAACAATGCATTCTGTCTTCTTGTATATGCTTAGTCCTTTCTTCTCGCTCTCCTTCGCTACTTTCTGTAGGAGATGTTGTAATTTCTCGTCCGTGTCTGCTATCAGTACTGTGTCATCTGCGTATCTTATGTTGTTAAGATTGTGGCCGCCGATGGTGAATCCCGGTAAGATCCTAGCTGCATATAATGTAAATACACGATTTTACAATAAGGAACACGTTTATAAAAAACAAACTGTTTTTAGATTTGACTATGGCTTCTGACATCAATGTAGATTAAGCAACTAAAAAACAATAAAAGAAAATTAAACAGAACAAAAAAATTTAGTAAATACATTATTTCACACTATATTCAATAATTTTACTAGTTTAGTTAGATTAAAATGTCTTTCTTTTCTATTTATTCAACACAGGTATTGTTATATAGTTTTCTTCTAAGACACGTGATAAGTAATCAACTTCCTGTTGCCTGGCTCTTTGCGTTATACCTTATTTCTCCTATAACCGAGATATGTAAATCGCTAAAATCCTATTTGTCGATCCTATTACAAGAATAAAAAGCTTTAAAATGTGTAAACGTAACCGGAATTTGCCGAGTATTCGGAAGTTTCCTGATTTTCTCGGCTATAAAACTGTTTATAAAAAGGTATTCAGTGTACGTAGGCTGATGTAAAAGCTGCCAACGCCATTTTTGTACGCTATTGGAGAAATCTTAGAAGTATCTTTGAAATTAGCTGGTTTTTACTGGTTGTACAAAGGTGGTTTGTCGTATACCAGCGTTATGAAAAATCCAGGGAGGTAAAAAATGACTTACACATGATATTATAAAAGAGAATATCAGTCTTTCTTAACTTGAGGGTGATTGTTTCGTTGCTTTCGTGTCTTTAGGCAATTTCTTTTTAATAGTATGCATCTTTTCTCTCTGTTTGTAGGTGAAAAGTAATTTTGGAAATATTTTCTTTCTACTTTTTGATTTTAACAACACTTTTTATTTCTTAATATGATATTCTGGATTCGACAGCAGACGTAAGTGATGGATTGACCGTAAGCTTACGGTCAAATCACGCTGATACACCGGTTCTCGTTCGATCACTGAAGTTAAGCATCGTAGAGCCAGGTCAGTACTTAGATGGGAGACCGCTTGGGAACACCTGGTACTGTAAGCCCCCAAAGTCCAACCCTTACCTCACAGTCGGTGGGGGGGTGTAAACGGTAGTGTCAGAGCTATGCCGCCCGGAACTTCGTTCCTGGTAGGGCCACCCAAGGCGGACAGGTCTGACACACACGCCGGCTAACAAGGGCTCTGGTGAAAAGGAGCGTCTGCATCGGTAACCGGCGGCTTCTGGTCGTTCCTGTCTCTGCGTCTGTGGGAATCCCGCGGCAAGCAAGAACGTTATCCGAGTAGGCCTGGGTACCCTACTTCTGTAATTTATCCCAAGAATCTTCTTCTCATAACAGGAAGAAGCCGGCTCAATCCGCCCAGGGTAAATGCCGCATCAGTACAGTACAGTAAGTGATGGATATAATCGAGATCACCAAGAAGGGCAAACATAGAGGAGTTGACCACGTCTCTCATCTCCGAGACAACAGGTATTAAATTCTCAAGTCACTGGATTACTTCAGCTAAAGCTTTTATCCACTCGGCTGTGTGTGGTTAGGGAACATCTGTGTATGAATTTTTAATTGAAAACTTAGATTATAGGAAGAGGCACAGCACGTAGAACTAGAATAGTCTAGTGGACGAAATAAAGAGTTCAGTTCGCAATTCTAATCACCTGAAGAAGGCCGGAGCGTACAAAAACCGAAACGTCATGAATATGACAACAATGATGAAGACAACAGTCTGAATAATGTAAGAAGGTGGACTATTAGAACGACAGAGTGGGCACCAAGACAATGAAAAAAGAACTAGTAGGCGACCAAAGGTAAAATAACCCGATACCACAGGGATAGGGCGTGGTTGAGGTCAGTCAGGGAGAGGATCCTCCTACAAGACTGGGAACGCCTTGCATCTGGATTTGGATTATTTTCTATTCTCATGTACGTTTATTTTAATGATGGATCATAAATTTTTTATTTGGTCAACTCTGGGGACCATTCCATGAATGTATTTTCTGCGACTTTTTTTGGACAAGATGTGAAATATTCAGCTTCGCAGAATGTGAACATTGTATTGTATGATTGTAGCCTTTAACTTAAGATTCCTTGGTTGTGATTTTACCAATGAAAAACAAAACAAAAACAAAAACACCTTGGCCTGGAAGTTATATTAATTTTCTGCATTTATTTTGACGCAATCATCAACTTTGAAGAAACCCATAATTTTACTACCGACAGTTCCACACTTCTAGCATCCCTTTTAATTCTTCCCTTTTGTATTTTATATTGTGTTCCTTGAGCATTTCTAAGATAGGCCAAACCGTTTGCGAAGCCATCAGGTTCAACAAATGGACATCTCTAACAATAATTGTGGAGAAATCAGTTTTCAAGTAATTCTTCCCTCAAGTTAAACGTTTGCGATCTTCCCTTAAATGTAGTTGCCTTCAAACATTTATTTTGCCAATTTTCTTGCTTATTAGCATTTTTGCAAAATCTCTTTTTACGGCATTGTTAAAATAAACTTATTCCTTTCTTGGGTTACCTTTTTTTTTCAATTTCTTTATTCTCCTTGATGAGGTCCATTCAGCCCTTTGCGATTTCCAAAGTTCTCATCATTCAATAATTTTACATTAATTTATTTTTCTTATGACACCTGACAAGATTAATAGATTTGAATTAGTTTTGGGTCGGTTTGGTTTGGTTTGTTTTACGGCATGCCAACACCTGGATGGGTTATTTAATGCCGACAAGATTTTTATTGCTGGTAATATTTTTTAAATCTATCTATCTATCTATCTATCTATCTATCTATCTATCTATCTATCTATCTATCTATCTATCTAATATTTTCTCTCTCTATCACTGTAATATTCTATCTATCTATCTATCTATCTATCTATCTATCTATCTATCTATCTATCTAATAATTTATCTATCTATCTATCTATCTATCTATCTATCTATCTATCTATCTATCTATCTAATATTTTCTCTATGCCTATCACTATAATATTCTATCTATATATCTATCTATCTAATATTTTCTCTCTCTATCACTGTAATATTCTATCTATCTATCTATCTATCTATCTATCTATCTATCTATCTATCTAAGACAGGCTTTATTCTATGCACTTTTCACCATATTTCCGAATGCAATTACGTTTTTCCAAGATTGTCTGTCAAAGGAGGTGTTTTGTCCAATTTACAGTTTGTAGAAAAATCAATATTCTGTTTGAATGTGCCAATCTGTGGCCCCATTTCGCCACTGAAACCCTAAAAATTTTCCCTGAATCCATAAAATTTCTCCTCTAAAGCCAAATTTCTCTCGAGTTGAGAATCAATGTCCGGAAACTTATTTTGACAGTTACGTAATTATAAAAAGATAAATGAAAAAGATAGGTTTCAAATTAGTTGGGGATGCTGGAAAAAAAGTGAAAAATATTCATTTGTAAATACGAGGCCCTTTCATAACAATATCAAAATCTGTAATAAGTCAACGATCAACCATCCGTCCTTGCATGGAATATTGCTGATCCCGCTGTACGTCTTGAGGTCCTCGACAAAATCCAGAGACGAATATGCAATATGTTAGGTCCTGATCTGGCATCTAGTCTACAATCGCTATCCAACTGTCATGCCGTGGCCTACCTCTGTCTCTTCTACAAGTATTTTTTCGGCAACTATTCCGACGGGCTACTTTCGCTGGTTCCTGGACTACATGAATTTAAACGTGCTACCAGGCTGGCATCTCGGTCACACCCTTTCACTGTCAAAACGGTTAAATGTAACCGTCTCTTCTATTCAAACAGCTGCTTCTCCCGCACTTCCCGTCTGTGGAACTCCCTTCCCCTTACTTGCTTCTCCGATGACTATAATCTTCAAATATTCAAGTGTAATGTCAATCGACATCTGACACCCTGAGCTGTTCTTCTCTGTATCCTTTCCTCAAACACACCCCTTTACACTTGCTCTTAATCTCTGTAACCACTTGCGTGCTAGTGGCACTCCCGCTTTGCTTGGGGTAAAGTGCTTAAAAATACATAGATAGATAGATAGATATGAGCAGATTGGGCTAGCTAGCTAGATAGATGGATAGAATCTTCAAATATTCAAATGTAATGTCAATCGGCATCTTCGAATGCCTTGATCCTGATCCCCCGTCTTTCTCTATATTCTTTCCTCAAACAACTCTGTTTAATCTTGACCTCACTCTCTGTAACACCTTGAGTGTTAGTGGCATTCCCGCCTAGCTTGGGGTTGAAATTCTTACAAAATACATAGATAGATAGATAGATAGATAGATAGATAGATAGATAGATATGAGCAGATTAGTATAGATAGATAGACAGATAGAATCTTCAAATATTCAAATGTAATGCCAATCACCATCTTTTGAAGCTTTGATCCTGACCTCGTCTTACTCTATATCGTTTTCACAAACAAACCTGTTTAATCTTGATCTCACTCTTTGTAAAGTCTTGCGTGCTAGTGGCATTCCCGCCTTGCTTGTGGTGAAATGCTTACAAAATACATAGATAGGTAGATAGATAGATAGATAGATAGATAGATAGATATGAGCAGATTGAGATAGATAGATAGATAGATAGAATACTTAAATATTCAAATGTAATGCCAATCATCATCATCTGATGCTTTGACCCTGATCCCCGCCTTTCTTTATATCCTTTCCACAAACAACCCTGTTTAATCTTGACCTCATTCTCTGTAACATCTTGCCTGCTAGTGCACTACTTGGGGTGAATAGTCTTAAAAATCAGTAAAGGGGATGACCAATAATCCTTAGATGACTTGGAAATACTTTAAATATCATTGAAAACAAGTTGAAGTTGTTGGCGACCCGCAGTTCATTAGTTGGTTGATTTGTATTTTACGGCTTATCAACCCTTTGTGGGTTATTTAAATGCAGACTATTGGCCTTATCTTTGTTGTTGTCGTCACAACGTTTCGACCGTTTTTCCTTTCAGTTTCATCAGGTTTACCCCGATACGTGTAACCTACTCATCAGCAGGCTGGTTGGATTTATATTCTCAATACAAAATTGTCCCACGGGAAAATAGACCAGTGGATTAGAAAGTTTGTTCGTGAATTTGGTGACAAAGTAATTGTGAGTTCGAACCCGGGCAGTTGAAACGTGGCAAACAGTAACTGGGTAATACTAAATAAGGACCTGGCAAGATATCCCTAGACATGGGCAGTGGAACGAGAACAATCTACCCCTTAGGTTAAAGAAAGGGTTCAATTTCAATTTTGTTGGTGATTACCAGGATATACATATTCCTGATGAAGGCCGGAAAGCACAACAGCCGAAACCTAGTGATAACAACACAGCAAAGATGAGAACAATAGTCATAATATAAATATTGTAAATAATGGTAGACTAAATAAAGGGCTCATTTCACAATTCCCTGTAGATTACTCAGATCGATATACACCTGAGGAAGGCCGGATAGCACAATGGCCGAAACTTTGTGATAACAACAACAAAGATGGGGAAATTAGTCCGCATGTAAATAATGTAAATACTTCTAGATTAAGGGTTCAGTTCTCAATTCCATGTAGATTACCCAGATCGATATCGATCTAGGTAATCTACATGGAATAACAACAAAGATGGGGAAATTAGTTCGCATGTAAATGGTGCAAACATTTTGTCCGAATAATTCGTTTCTTTTTTGTGTGTTAATATTGCATTAAAAATTTCATGGAGATGACAATGATTTTTCCAGATACACGTCCTACTATTTAATCCATAACTAGGGGGAATTTCACATCTTCCCGACGGGCAAATTAATGTGACGAACTTTATTGGAATTCGAACTCTGTTTTCCCATTCTCATTCCTAGCCGCTATCCATTACCCCATCTGCACATCCACAGTGACTCGCGGAATCATCGTTATTACTAATGAGAACAATGACATTTTAAACCGTCCGGCTTTCACCCGATCCCTACGGATAGACACCTGGTATTCCTTCTGCAAACAACAACAATAAACGATAATACACGTATACCTCACCTTACGTCGGTAATTTGTTCCAGGATA